GCAGTTACCATGTATGTATACTCAGACAGTAGCTAAGCAGATTACAGGCAGCCACCAATACAATTTCTAGCCAACTGTTCCTGCAGCAACCAATCCAGGAGGGGGCCATGGAGCAAGCACAGGGACTGTAACACATGCCAGGGCTGTGCCTACAGGGTGAGCAGTTTGCTGTTCACATGCCTAGCCCYGGGGAGTGGTTTGCCACTCAGATGCCCTTAAAGTATGCCATGTATGCAATAGTCCATGCACTTGTCTTCACATGACCCAGATGWACCATTCCTTGGTATTTATCCTAAAGAATTAAAGTCATCATACTACAGTGATACATGCATACACATATTTATTGCAGCACAATTCACAAAAGCCAAACTATGGAACCAAACTAGATGTCCATCAATGGGTGAATGGATAAAGAAGATATGGTACACATACACAATGAAGTTTTATTCAGCTATAAAAAATGAAACTAAGTGATTTGCAGAAAAATGAATGAAACTTAGGAATATTGTATTAAATGGAAAAAGTCAGTCGGAAGGTCAAGGGTTGAATGTTTTCCCTATATATGGGAACTAGATAAGAAAAAGGCAAAGACAGGTATATAGGGGGTATTTCATGAAAATCAAAGAGGGATCAGTAGAGGAAAGAGATGGGGGTGGGGGTGGGGTGAGAGGTAGAGAGGAAGTGGGAAAGTGCTGGGGAGTGACATTGGCCAGATTACATTGCTGTATTATGTGCAATGTATGGATATGTAACAAGAAGTCCCATTATTATGTACAACTATAATGCAACAGCCAAAACATGTGGAAAGTGGGGGAGTGTGCATTCCATGAATGTTACATTTTACTGTGTGACACTCAGACATTCAATGTGTGAACAGGTATCTATTAAGCACAGGACAAAAACACAAAGAAAGGAAACAAGTTGCATTGTCTGTAGCTCCTTTACTACATTCTCATGGAGAAGACCTGAAAACTCTACCCCAAATATTAGGAGTAAGAGAAGCAGTATAAATACTTCTTTCAACTTTTCACCTTTGCATGATTTCTCAGAACTAACATAATCTCAGAAGAGAAACCATGATCCCTGGCTATGTTACTTTCATACAAGAAAGGAAAATTACATATTTAAACATACACCTGTCTCACTTTAGTTCCTCTTGACTGACACGGTTCACAGAGAAATAGAATAATGAGTTGCTGCATTCACGGCATAGGTGGCTGGTCACATTTCCAGGGCTCACAATATAAGAACATCAAAGCTGAAGCTTTCCACATTTCCATTAGCCTTCAGAGTTCTTTTGTTTTTGTGTATGTAAATCCATATAAACTAGGCTTTAGCTGTGYCGGGAGCAGGGACTAGTATTCTTTTGGGCACTATTTAAAGAAATACAAACTATAGGCTATGCATCTAACTTTCCATTTCTTTAACTTACAAGACACTCAATAAACCTTATGAAATTTGTCAACTTAATTGATCTACATCCTTTCTATTATACTCTATCCTTTCTATTATATTTTCAGAAAAGATAAATGAATACCTGAATATAGTATAAAATTCATTTTGATTTTAMACAAATCTATTGATGAGACTATTTAATGTCTTTATTTGTAAATATTTTCTTTTATGTACACAAAGCTCATGAYTACTTTAGGCTGGTTATTAACAGAGTTGATCTGTCCACAATATCTTTGCCATATATAAATAATATGTTTTTGATGGAATGTCCCAAACAGATCTTGTAAATGTATACAGTCCAGGTATATAGAGATGACTTGAATTGAATCAATGTTTTGTTGATAGTTTTAACATCTTGATATTTAAGGTTTCGATTGAAGCTCTCATCTTATCATGGTATCTTGATAAAAGCAAACTTATATATGTCTTTTGTGGAGAAATTCTATTCAATAAACAAACAATAGGCTCTTTGTTTTGCAGAGAATTTCTACACAAACTTTCTGTTGCTTCTACAGTATCTTTTATTAATTAGTCTATGATCCTAAAATAATGCTAGCRGTGATTCTAATCAGTATTAATTACTGCTATATTCATACAATTCCACAGAATTTACTAAGAATTGTTATTTGATTGAGTCTTTTCCAAAGGTGAAGCTTAATTCGATGATCTGAGAAGAATCATGACATTGGCTGCTTTTCATAAGGATGCAAACACAGCAAGATGCTATTACAGTTGTTTTGAATTGGTTATACATTTGCATCTGGAGAAATGATTTAGAACAAGCAATGAAAATGCCCTCCCCTTTCATGGTTTATGTTAGGATATTAATTATAATTTGCTTTAAAACATAGTTTTAAAGAATCAACTCTGAAAAGAGGAAGAGAGAGAAAGATATAGAGATAAAGTCAGTTTACATGAGATTTCCTAAGTTACAATTATAAATGTGCTAAATAAATTTTGAATACTTAACCACATGAAACTAAAATTAATGCAAGAACTGAAGATAATTAAGAAACCTCTTCGAATTCTTTGTCCTGGAGAATTATATCTTCTTCTCAGATCTGTTTGTTAAAGTTTTCTTCTTTTTAGAATATTCTTTACTTTCCAAAACACCCTTAAAAATGCTTGTCTTAATTTATTGTTGCCCAGGATCAGGATAAATGAATGGCCTGAGGGATAGATTAGAGCAATCAACTCACCAAAAATGACAGCTAATTCAGTCTCTGGCATAAAATAGCTGGAGGTGGCTATAAGAAAGGCCAAATAGTAGATGATGAAGAGGAGGAGGAAGGAGATGACTGCTTTCATGGCTCCCACGTGGGCTTCTGAGCTGGGATCTCTGTGCCCTGAGGCATTGAGCTGCATCTGCCTGGTGTGTCTCCACAGGGAGAGGATCAAGAGGAGAAATGAGATCAAGGACACAAAAAAGGGAAATAGTGTTACCAGGTTGAGATATATCTTGGTAGAGGCATATGTGGTTTTCTTTATTCTGCATTTCAAAGTTAAGTTTCTTCTCCACTTTGCCTTCACACAGTGTCTGAAATCATCATTCAAATTCTTAGTGACTGGAAGACTAATAAACACAGAGAAGGCCAAGCACCCCAGTAGAGTCTTGAGAACCACCCTGTCAATTCTCCACTTCATCCAGAGGAAAAGGGGGTGGAAAAAGTTTGCTATCTTGAAGAAATAGAAAATGCTGAGGCAGGTGGCAAACCAGACACTTAAGTGGTTGGTTAGGGTCCAGAAGAAGTCAATGATTCTCATTTGTTTACCAGTGGCATAGACATCTGGATACAGCACCAATATAGAACAATCTAATAATATTACATACAATAGACAAATTCTGGATATAGCCAGACTTGTGAGGATTAAATCAATGGAGGCAATCTTCCTATTCTTGACCCAGTTCATGAAGTTTATCAAGGCGATGAAAGCATTCCCCAAGATCCCCACTGAAAACTCTCCAACTGCTATGAGCAACAAAATTCTCTCCTTCGTATACAGCATGCTTAGATAGAGAAATACCCAGTTACGTTCTAGTGGACCTGAAGCAGTTTGGTATCTACACCTGGTTCTTGGATTTTGCTGTAATTGTTACCTCTTTTATGGCGGTCTTGCCTTGAAGACTGGAACAAGAAATGAAGACTGTAGCTATCTTCATTAAATCCTAATTAGTGCTGATGAATGCTGTGTGTGGCCATCTTTAGCCTAGATGCTGTATGTCCATTTACCTTCTCAGCAGCTATTGTTTTCCACATATAGTTAATTTAGGCTGAGCTAGTGTTTGCTAAGATGCAAATTGAGCCAATACCCTTTCATAGTCCTGCACTGTCTTTCTGAGGCTAAGTTATATGAACTTTGGCTTCATTAATCCTTGATGCATACTAGTGCTCTAAAGAGGGTTGCCAGATTTAGCAAATAAAAATAGAGGATTCCCATGGAGATTTGAGTTTTAGGTAATAAATGATGAGAAATGTTTTTGGTGTATGTTACAAGTTGCATAAGATCAGAACTTTCAGGAAGTCCTGAAGTTAAATAAAATTTGTTTATATTATATTTTATCTGGCAAACCTAAACCTCAGACTTTGAAAATTAGAAAATTGGCAAAAACTAGATTTGTGGAAGTATGTCTGCCTTGTTGAATGAGCAGGCTGATTATTAATAAAGAATCCCAAATTTGGGCACACAATGAGAATTATATATTTTCAGAAAATATAAAAGATAAACACTAAATATAGATTACTTGGACCTTCCAAATTTTAAGTTTATTTTCTTGGTTGTTCAGGTGAACAATTATATGGTACAGTGTCTTAAAATAATAATGTGTCATCTTAATTGATTAAGTGGCATTTATTGGTCAGAATTTATGATGCTAGATATAATAAGGTAAAGGAGTCATGATAAACATGACTATTGATTGTATTTAGATTTTCCTTTTCATTTAAAATGTTTTCAAGGTAACGTTAGCAGGTGTTGGATATGTCCATTACCTTGATTGTGGTGGTGGTGTTATGGTATTAGCATATGTCCAAATTCATCACATTGTATACACTAAAGATACTCGGTTTTTCAGTTGTACCTCAATAAAACTCTTAAAAAAATAAAGTGTGTTCAAAGGCCCTTGAGAAAGACGAGCATAAAATTTTGCATTTTATTTTCCTCTCTACTCTCTCCATATCAAATTGCTTCTAAGTTTCCAGACCTTTATCCTTTCTAGAACAAGAATGAATATTAAATAAACCACTTCTCTATAGACTAACTCCTGTTTTAAAATAGTTTCTTTAATTTAGATTTACTGAAAAATTATAAATCTTCTGTGGAATAATTTTTGGGTATTTATACCTTCCTGGAATTGTATGACTTCTCTCATCTTTCCTCAAAGGAGAAAACTTCATTCCTTAAATGCCACCTTGATTTGGGGGTAAATTGCAGATAATGTAGCCATGTTCATAGGTGAATGCTTTCTTTTATCTTGTGCCTGTCCCAGGCACATAATTTCTACTCCATAGTTATCTCGGTAAATAAGTGCTTTATTTAGTCAAATAATTTTTTTAATTACTCAAATAATTTTTTCTTTTTCATTAATTTTATTGACATAACTATACATAACAGTGTCAACCAAATAATTTTCAGAAAATTTCAATATTTGATTTTGTTTTTGCACATAAGTATAGATTTTGTGCATGCCAGTTTCATACAGCATGAAAGTTAGGTTATGGTACAGTTAAGAGGAAAAAGAGAAAAAAAAATTCCACAGGTGAGCATTTTGTCACATGCCTGCAAACCCCAATCATTGGAGAAACTTGAAAACAGAGAGACAGAAAACAAAACATGGAAGAAGAAACTTCAGACTAATGAGATAAAACTTTCCCAGAAGCACTAATCTTATAAAACATTTATTTCACAACCCCAAACCATACCCCCAATAAATCTTCTTGTCTTGTACAATAAAAAGCAATATAAGTGACTAACATATTACAAATACAATCAATAAAATGTATATACTATTAACGGCTACAATTAAGAGTATTTTACAAAGTGAATTTTACACAATGGTAATCAAAGCGATTAAAATTTAGCTAATTCATATTTTTAGCTATAATACAAGGAAATGGAGTAGACCAGGATTAGACAGAAAATGGTGGGAGTAAGCACAAAAATGCACAGCCAGATCAGAACAGACCTGACTTCTCAAACATCCTAGTGAGGAAGAATTTCATCCTCACAGCAAAACCACGGTTTATTAGTAATCTCATTTTCCTCTTTTTTTTTTTTTTGTAACTTGCCCTATATGTGTCATGGACAGATATTGGTGAGAGAGAGAGAGAGAGAGAGAGAGAGAGAGAATGAATGAGTGTCTAGGTATATTCCATGCTATATGTTAAATTTTTTACATTTTTTCCCTTAAGTCATGAGTGAAACTCCTTGCTCAACTTTTTTTTTTTTTAAAGGAACTTGAACAGAATAACATGACTGATATTAGTTATGCTCATTCTTTTATCCAGATTGTAAAGAGTACTTAGGAAATGGCTTTTGCATAGATTCTCTTCCTAAACAGGTGTTGTCTGAGAAGCAGATTCTTTGTGAAGAAACTTGATCTTAAGGGCAATGAATAGCAAGTGCTAGAATAAAGTCAACCAGAAATTACTGACACAGAGATGACCTAAAGCATTACTCAGGAAACTAAACCATAGACCAGGCAGAGGAATTTTGAATTACTAGTTAATCAGTCAAATGGAAGTGGTGCAGCAGAGATGTGAATGGAGCACAATTAAGGGCCAGACTGAAAATGTATGACAGAAAGAAAGGGGAAACTGAAAAGTGTAGCCCAGATGCAGTTTATCATAGGCCAAAGTAAAATCTTAGAGAAGTTAAAAAGGCAACACAGACCTAACATTTGTCTTCAGAGGATAAGAAGAGATGCATGAGCCCTGACATTGTTAGAGGAAAGGGAATGCAAAGATGAGAAAGTCTGAACTATACACAGCAAAGGATTTATTCATTAGGTCCTGGAGTGCCTAAAGATATGCATCCAAAATAAATAGCATAACTGGAAAAACAATAAGAATAGGCCCATTTTTTGTTGATTTTTGACACAGGGTCTCACTTGGTTGCCCAGGCTGTCTTCAAACTCCTGGGCTCAAATGATCCTCCTCAGCCTCCCAAGAAAAAAATTGTATTTCTTTTTAAATCAGAAAAGAAGATTTGCTTTTTTTTTATTGAGAAAATAAGATTTGCTTTTAAAAAGTCTATTTATAAATTCAATATTTCACATCATGCAGGTTATTTTTCTACATGTCAGCATCCTGACAGATGGCTGCCTCAGTTTATTATTTCCAAAAATTAAAATAACTGAGTGTCCTGATGGATAGAGAATTGCTACAGCCTCTCCAACCATTATAGTTAATATTTGTTCTGTTATAAGATAGCTAAAGGTCACTAAGAGAGAAAACACACAGTAAATAAAAAAGAAGAAGAAGAATGAAGTTATAATTATCATGGCTTTCACATGAGCCTGTGTGTTGGGGTCTCTACAACTTTTAGAATTCATTTTCATTCGGTTAATATGTCTTCTTAGGGATATTATTAAAAGAAAAAATGAGATCAGTGAAAAAATGAATGGTACCATAGAAAACAGGTGAAATAAAGTTATTGGCTCAAAGTGTTGAATTTTACTCATTTCAGTGATGTTTCTTGTATCTTTTATAAGGTAATGAAGTTTATAACCATAAGTCACTGTTGGTGATACTATAATGCCAACCGAAAAGGAGATGGTGAAGCATCCCAGCAGGACCCAGTGAACCATTCTATCAGTTTTCCACTTCAGCCAGAGAAAAAATGGGTGGGAGAAATTGGCTATCTTGAGGCAATAGAAGACATTCAGACAGGTTGTAAACCACATACTTAAGTAGTTAAAGAATGTCCAGAGGCTGTTAACAACTACGTGTATTTTCTGATTTTTATACACATCTAGGTATAGTGTTACCAAAATACCATGTAGTACTATAATTGCAATCAAACACATTCTTGAGATAGCTAAACTGGCCAGGACATAGTCAATTGATGAGATCTTTCTCTTTTTAATCCAGTCAATCCAGTTGACTAGTCCAATGTATCCATTGCCTAACATTCCTATTATGAATTCTGCAGTGATCACAATCGTAAAGATATCTTTGATACTGAACATACTTGTAGAGAGAATATTCTAATCTCCAATATCACTGCAAATGGTTTAGTTTACAGATGATGAGTTAAAACATGATTAATACATTCTTCAAAGCATGACATAATGTTTTCATCTGTCGTTATTTTGACATTGATCCCCCTCCTGGAGCACCAGGATCTCACCTGAGATAGGATTATTTTTACATTCATAAAGACTAAACCAACAGTTTGATCCGAACAAATGTCTTGTCTTTTTTCTTTCTTTCTGTCTTTTTTAGACTGGAAAGATTATAATTATTACCTTTAGTGAGTGATGACTGAAGCATTCGGTTGAAAGTGCTCTCATGCAAATTCAGATAATTTATTTCATGAATTTGCAATAGGCTTCTTGAAGTAGGTTCTTTTAACTTGGATCTGTGAAGTTGAATTTTGAATTAGGAGTCATTAAAAAGCACAAAACCCATAAGTGTTAACTAAAAATAAAAATGCGTAAATGAAGCTTCATTTTCATCATCATAGTTAAAATTAGACACAAGTCATGTCTACTCTGGAAACAGGATTTTGTTTCAGAAAATATTAGTACAATTAGATCATACAGAAATAATAGTCAGAGGATAATAAATTTTGTCTTCATTAGATGATCAATTAGGGAAGGTTATGATACAAGTCTCATTATAAATGACAAATTGTTACTAGTCAGACAGGCACCTGGCAATAGTTACTAAGAATTTGTTCTGTGAAGTTGTTTATTAGAAGTAAAACTGCCTGACAAAGATTTGTTGTCTATAGTTTTATTTAATGTTAGAAGTGCTCCCAAAGATGGTTCACAACTTAAAGCATTC